AAATTGGTAATTTTCCACAAATAAATTGAATTAAGGTTCAGTTCTTTATGGAATATTAATTATATACTTAATTACGATAGTTATCACTTGTAATATAATTAAAATCTACAGAATTACTATAAGAATTACATTTAAGTTCGGAATTTATATAATTTTTGAAGCTAAAATAATAAATAAAAACAATTTTTATCGTTATTTATTATTAATAAAGTCATTATTGTCTCTCAGTTATATCAATTTTAATGATAAATCTAGTAATAATTAATTTTCAAAATTAAAGTTTTTTTTAAATTATTCAATTATTGGCATTTTGGACATTACTAATACCAAAAGTTCTTTATATTTTGACAAGTCACGTGTTTGTATGTTGTAATTTACATGTAAGATTCAGAAAACTTGGTAATTTACATGTAAATTACCGTAAATTACCACGGTAAAATGGTAATTTACCGAGTGTCACAACCCTACCAATAATACAGTATACGTTCAGTACATGAATCTAATCTAAAAATTCACGCACAATTGTAATTAAAGATATGCTTAATTTGTTATATTAAAAATATTTATTATCCTATCATTTCTAAATTATCTAGTATAAATAATATTATATTATTAATAATAATTTCAATTTTTAGAATTATTGGAAATAATATGAAATACATTTCACTGCAATCTATAAATTTAAAACTATTTTTAATTTCATATAAATTCATTATATATTGCTACAAAATATTATCACCTTAATCAAATATTAAAATACAAGTATCATTGATTGGCATTAATGCAAATAATGTGTATAAAATGTTCATTTCTTTTGAGACTCTTTAAATGCAATAAACTTCTTCCACATCTTAGGTATGTGTCCATTCACTTCTTCATAATACGGTAACTCCTTCTGCAGCCTCGAGTACCACGTCTTCAGATTTGGCAAATCATTCATATCTTTGTAGTCATTGATCGCTAATAAAGTAGTCGACGCCAGAGTCGAGATGTCGGCGATTGTCAACTCATCGCCCGATAGATACTTCTTATCGCCGATCAAAGTGTCCATCAGTTTTAGATTCTGGCGATAGTTCTGGAGCTGAAACTCTGTCGGCTCTATATCTCTGAGCAGTTTTTGTAACTATAAAACAAATATTATTAAAGCATTGTATGGATGGGTAACCCATAATGGGTTGCATTACGAGCGCTTCAGTAATGTATTTGTAGTAAAAGGTGTCGTAATAGAGAAGTCGGTCCACAATCGCCCTCTTCTTCAGGTCTGTCGGATAGAGAGGACTATTGGGAGAGTATTTGTTGCACAGGTATTGCATTATAGCCCGACTCTCCCAGAGGGCGAACCCCTGGTCCACAATTGAAGGCACCTGTTTGGTCGGGTTTATCTGCATTCAAAAATCATCATCAATTACATTAATATTTTCAATAAACATATATTTATAGACATATAATTGTAACCAATGGTCACTTATGTGGCCATACCTTTGCGTATTGAGGGGTCAAATGCTCGCCTTTTCCGAGATCCAGGTTTTTGACGTTAACCGCAATATTGAGATGTTTTGCTAACATTAGGACCGCTCGCGAGGGCGGACTCATAGTCGCGAAATACAACTCAATGGCCATTATTTGGGTTGGATTTTGGCAATCAATTTGCAATGAATATATTTTATAAAAATTATCTCAATTTATAGTTAGTTGACAACAATATAGCGATGACCTTGGTTATTGTTATCTGTTTACTATTTCTATGAGAAAAGTCCTAAAGTTTCAGTACTTTTCTAAACATTACCCAAAGACGGCGTTTGACTCTATTTTTACTGAATTAAGCGCTACTTTCAAACGTTTCACACAATTATCAATACTTTTATAAACATTAAAAATACATTTTCATTCATAACAGTGGTAAATGTAGTTAAATTCAATTTTAATAATATATGGTTTATTGTTTGTTGTGTACATAAAAAGTTTCAGTTTGAAATTTCTTGAAGCCTTTTGGTACGTCTCCATTCACTTCTTCATAATATAGTAACTCTTTCTGCAACCTCTCGAGCCATGCCTTCAGGTTTGGCAAATCGTTGATATCTTTGTAGTCATTAATCGACAATACAGTACACGTGGCCAGAGTTGAGATGTCGGCGATTGTCAACTCATCACCCGATAGATACTTCTTATCACCGATCAAACTGTCCATCAGTTTTAGATTCTTGTAATAGTTCTTCACTTGAAATTCTGTCGGATCTATACGTCTAATCACTTTTAACAACTGATAGACAATTAAATTGACAATTAAATTAATGTAAAATTTGCAAACATTCCCTCTATTGGTCACTGTCTTACCAACGCTTCCCGAAGAGACTGATAAAAAGTTGTGTCATAATAGAGAAGTCGGTCCACAATCGCCCTCTTCTTCAGGTCTGTCGGATAGAGAGCACTATTGGGCGCGTATTTGTTGCACAGGTATTGCATTATAGCCCGACTCTCCCAAACCGGGAACCCCTGGTCTACAATTGCGGGCACTTTCTGGAGTGGATTTATCTGAATACAAATCAATTGTTATTAAAACTAATTTGAATTTAAGGTTAATCTATGTATACCTTTGCAAACTCAGGGGTCAGGTGTTCACCATTTCCGAGATCCAAGTGCTTCACATTAACGGCAATATTGAGATGTTTTGCTACCATAAGGACCGCACGCGAGGGCGGACTCAGTGTCATGTAATACAGATCGATGGCCATTATGTATGAGATTTGAGCGAGTAATTTGTAATTTCAATATATTCTATGACATTTTGTGCAAATGTCCCCCAATTTATAACTACTTTGCAATCATAATCAAATGACCTTGTTAAATTATCTGTTTTGTTTCTATGAGGAAAATGCTGTAGTGTTCACAAATTTATTCAAAGAAGGCGTTGAGTAGGGTTACCACCAAAAATGTCCTTAAAAAGGACAATTGTAAAAAATAGTCATTAAAAAGGACAAAAAAGGACACAAAAAATTAATAAGATTTGTATTAATTGAATATAAATATTGTGTAATTGATACAATAAGATATGATTTAATTGGACATAAATAACGAACAAGTTTTCCATGCCTTAACTGTACAAATGATTATTGTATGAGCTGTTCAATAATAATTGCATATATAATTAGTTAGAAGTAAATCATTTTAGTAATAAATAAAAAGGACAAAACCTATTAAAACGTTATGGTCACCCTAGCGTTGAGTGAAAATTTAAGGGGATTATTAGTGCAATTTTCAAGTACAAAATTTGAACAGAATTCAAACATTTGATGTTTTACTCAATTCTCAAACAATGTTTTATTTTCACAAGTCTTTGACACAATTGTCATCAATATTTCAATTAGTAAACAGTATTTTTCGAAATGTAAATTATTGGAAGTTTTATTGAGATAAAATATTTTTCGGATTACATTCTCATGTAATTTAAACAATATATTATGTAATTTAAGCCAGAATTTACAGAATCGGTGAATAAATTCTGTGAAATATCATTACTTCTTCATTGCGGCGAACTTCTTAAAAGCCTCGCCAATGCCTCCGTTGATCTCATTATAATACGGCAACTCTTTGGACAGTCTTTCGTAGTATTTCTTCACATTCGGCACATCATTCAGGTCTTTGAAGTCATTGACCACCAAATAGGACAAAGTGGCCAACAGTGAGAGGTCGGCGATTGTGAGGTCAGCGCCGGCCGCGTACTTATTGGTGCCGATCAATGAGTCCAATGTTTTCAGATTGTTCTTAAAGCTTGTGATCTGGGCTTCGGTCGGCTCTACGCCGCGGAATACCTTCATTGTCTGAAAGAGTGAACACAATTGTTATTAATATATGAATGATATAATGAAATCCAATTTAAAACTCACGATCGCACCCCCAACAGACGTCGAGAGAGACATATCAAAGTTGAGGGTTCGGTCGACGACCGCTCGCTTCTTCAGATCTGCCGGATAGAGAGTGCTGTTGGCCTTCGCCGCCAAGTATTGCAAAATGGCTCGACTTTCCCACAGATTAAATCCGTTGTCAACCAGTGAGGGCACGGTATGAGTCGGATTGATCTAATCGCACACAATATGATCAGTTAGTTTTACATGTATTAATTGACAATATTTATTATTTTAATATATACCTTGAGATATTCGGGTTTCATTTGCTCGCCAGCCATGAGATCGACGTGTTTCACATTCACGGTAATTCCCAACTGCTTAATCAGCATCAACACCGACCGACACGGCCCGCTCAATGGCATTACGTATAAGTCAACAGTCATTTTTGATCAGAAATGTGTGTGAAATAACTTAAAGTAAAACTTCCGAAAAAGTTATGATGAGTTTAATTGAAATGAAACTAAACAGGAATTGTTGAACGAATGACAAAGGGATCCGTTGGTCACCACTATTTATACCGTATGTCTTATACCGTGATAACTGCACTAAAACCTAACGGCCCCTCCCATTAATAATCTGCAAATACCGGTAACTTGTATTGGATTTTGCACTAAAATTTAGTGCAAAATAACAAGCGTTGAATATAACTATAATTACTATTGCCTTCAACTACCAATCAGCACAGTATTATTCAACCGCTGTTATATAATATGGGAATCTTGGTAATGTACGGGTAGATTATCATATTGGATAACAATTTTTTTCTGGTGTACCGTTTTTAGTGCCGTTTCTTTACTTCAGTTTAAACTACGTGTATATTAATTGAGCGAATGAAGGAAACGTTACTTTCAATAGTAAATTATCAGGCAAATGTGGGCGTCTTGAGTAATAAACTAAATATGGTCTAAATTTGTTATTTAATGTAGTGATTGTGTATTACCTTTACTCTACTTATCATATAACGAACCATATTAATAATTGTCGCACACATTGCCAGACACCCAGACTGTTGTTTACGGTTATTAAAAATTGTATGAAATGTGGTATAAATTATATTCTGATAAAATAGAATTTTCTAGAAATAAAATAAAAAGAATTTTAGCAAAAAAAATTAGATTTTTAAAATTAAATAATTAATTAACACAACTATCACTCAATGAACATATTATAGTCACTGAAAATACGATGATTTGTAACATTTGGTTCAAACATTTTCGCATATATTACTGGTTATGTTCATAGAGACAGACATTTGACAAAAGAGACTACCGTTTAGATCAGATTAATATTTATCTCAAATAGTACTCTAAAATATTAAATATAGCAGTGATTAGTATTGACAGTGTATTGGTTTGGCTTAAATCTTATCAGTAATTATTATAATATATTTTGTTCATTCACTTAAGTTTTATATGAAAGACATATTTAATAATTTATGTAATTATTTGGCAATTTTCCACCAAATTAAACCTTAACAGCATTTCAGGTAATTATTAGTTATTGAAAAATCTAATTGATTTTTAATGAAAGAATTAATTAAATAAATATCAATACATATCTAATGCTTATTATTAATTATGTACTTTTGCTTGAATCAAAAATTACTTTAATGCACTAAACGTATAAATAGTGAAGGGTTTATAATTGTCAATTAATAACTGGCAAAGCGTTTTTCATAAATTTATCTTAAATGTCGATTGGTTAATTTATTAGAATAATTTTTCAAAAATTGATTTATTCAAGTTTATCATTATAATGTAATCTTTACTTTAAATCTAACAGCATGTTTATTATTTTTACAAATAAGTACACTTTTTATAAGTTTTAATTTACACCAGACTCTACTCAATGCACTAAAAACATTACCAATAAACATGTTCAATAAATAACTTAACGTTTATATTAAAATCTTAAAACTCCTGTTCACTCCAACAAGAATTTTACAAATAATTACATTAAAAATTTTCCAGAAAACTAACTTTAAAATGAAATGACATGTTTAGTAGATTTAGGAATTTGTGAATTTTAATTTGATCATACTAATTAATTCACTATATTAATAATCAAGAGTAATATTATATGATTTAAATCAAATTACTTAATATATTCCTGATTTAACCATGTTCTTCACATAAAGGACATTATTTCTAAACTAAAATTTAATTAAACATTAAATGTTGTGCTGATAAACACAGATTCATTGTATTGTCAATACAACTGATTGTTATTATTTGAAATTAGTTTTGAATAATTATGTATTTTAACAAACAATAGCTGAGACAAAGACACAAATATTACATAACACTAAAACAAACAAATCTTTATTATGTGAATGAATTATAAAATTGTAAATGACATTAAGCTCTTCACTAACCAGAGTTTAGTCCCAAACAAATAATAATTTGCTAGTATTTTCAAAATATTAATGTTTTATATCATATGATTAAACAAATATTAAGTTATGTAAGAATAAATACAAAATCTTAAATTTAATTGAAGGCCGACAATACAAATAATAATAACTTAATTATATTTTGTAAATGTATAGAAATAACATTATTTGTTATAAAAACATATTTTTATTTTATTATCATGTATTTGTAAGTCAATACATCATACGATACTTGTCTTAACTTTACTGATGATTATAAAAGTGTTTTAAAGTAATTAAATGTTTATAACCGTATTAAAATTGCCATGATTAAACGCCAGTTATGGCACAATTTGTATGCATCAAATGTATTGTGTAATTTCACAGTTATTATAAAACTTTTTATTTCAATTCAAATCCATAGCACAACTCAAATACAGATTTACTTATCATTTATTATCATGTATTTTATTTATCACTAAACAAGGTTTTTCCCAAATGCTTATGAAATATAGTATTTTTGTGTTTACTTTTTTATATCAAAAACCATACAAACTATAGCTAAACATGCAATTAATGTACAATAATAAAGTTGTTAATCATAAACTAACTTCATATATCATTTAATTTGTGTATTAAGTTATGAAATATTTTTATTTTATAATTATTAACAAAACAACAAAATCTAAAAATAAAACTGAAATACAATTTAAAAGCATATACCAAATAAAAGTGTTTTCATTGACCCCATAATTGCAAGAATATTACGATTATTTTTATTGATACTAATTATTGTTTACAACCAATCAATAGCATTATACTAATCATATAATCACTACTTCTGTGGTAGTTTTGTGAACAAATATTTTGTGGAAAGTTTTTTAATTTCCTTTTTAAATAAAAAATAAAAAAAAATAAATATATATTCAAAATAAATGTGACATTTTATCCTTCAATTTACAGATCCGATACAATCTAATGGCAATGAATTGCAATTCAAAATTACTTTCATTTATTAAAATTGGATATTTATAAGTTTAAAAGTCAGACCTTTGGTGCAAATCTTAAAATTTAAAACATAATTACAGAGTGTTTTTCTATGGGGGACAAAACTAATTCGCCTCCCATTTCAAAACCCCTTGGTCGATTTTAATGAAATAAAGTTTATTTTAAAGATGAAATATGGGAAATTAATGTATAATAGATTCAAAATGGCCACCACCCTTGGTGACCATATGATGAAGCCGTTTCGGGAAATTAGCAATTGCACGTTCAATCCTATTGTTTGCTATGCTTTAATGAAATCCACAATTGAATTTTTGAGTTCAGCGATTGTCTGTGAATTGAAGTAAAACACTTGGGCTTTTACATCACCCCTGTCAACCACTACTTGACAATTTAGTAAAAAGATCAACATTAAACATTGTCCAGTCATAAACAACATTACAATTTGTTAACTTAGAAGTTTATAACTTTAAAATATTGAAAAACGCATTCCTTTAAAATCATGTTAAAAATCTTGCCATACTACGTTATCTTTACCGTATAACTTTACAAAATAATTTTCCCACATTTGCTTTATAAAGTAAACTTTATTTCATTAAAATCGACCAAGGGGTTTTGAAATGGGAGGCGAATTACTTTTGTCCCCCATAGATAAACACCCGATATCTTTGTTGTCAACATTTTGTCGTACAGAATATCAATACAAGACATTAAACTCACGATTCCTATTGAATAGTAAACAAAATTTGAAAACAAAAAATAATTTCGGGAAAAACATAAAATAAGGGGAAAGAGCATCGCTTTGAGAAATATTGAGAAAGTTTTCGTTAATTACAGGCAAACACAGTGTCGGAGAGAGCGAGAAAAAAGTTGTTTCCCTTGACTTTGAACCTGTTTTTTGTCAAAACTATTGCAAATTCTGTACCGAATAGTGCCAGAGATATAAACCAATAAATTGATGTCAATTATGAGCATATTTTAAGTGAACAAACAAAAAGAAAACACCAATTAATAGATCAGAAGAGAAAGAGTTCAAAGAATCGCTAATTATATGCCAAACGAGTCGTTGATAAATCGGCAGTGAATTTACTATCGATTGCTAACAATCTTTATGTTTTGTGAATCTTTAAATAGTTTTCAACCGGTTTTTGAAACAACAAAAGCGTTTTTTAAAGAGATAACTATTCCTTATAGAAGAGAGAGAGAGAGAGAGAGAGAGAGAGAGAGAGAGAGAGATCAGATTTTTGACAGCATTTGATAGAGACCTTGTGATGTAATTATCAGTCAATTCTTGAGATTTTCGTCACTAAAATAACATCACTTTTTTGTGGTAATAGTGGAAATAAATTCATTACTTTCTCACTTTAAAAAGTTGTTTATAAAAAATATGTTCATTTGTTGTAAATAATAATCAAATCCAAATGCAATACTATTAATACATGTATTAACGTATTTAAATGGTTTCATTGTTTAGCAACAAAAGGAAAACTATATTATAAATAATTTTAAACGCGAAAAAATTCACCTTTTTTTAGTCGCTTGCGTTTAACGTCATTACGAAAATCATAGATATTTTAAATGTTTTATTTTTATGAATTTTTATTCAGTTTTACTAAACTCTTGGCATTTATTAAAAGCATATAATTTATGATTTGTTGCCTACTTTTTGTCGACGAAAATCCATTTATTGTTCAATAGTTTCTCAAAACATTTCTTATATTCTGTGCATTAATTTATAACTTTTTTTCGTTCTGTAGACAAGTATTAAATATTTTAATAACCATTTTGTGTGCGAAATCATATCAATTGAAAATTTGTCATCACATCTCGTATTCGCAACACTTCATTATCTCTAAGCCATAAACTGGTCCATAAAGTGGTGATCAAAGAGAAAATGCCAAACACTTCAGGCAATCAACTGGAAGTGGACGACATCTACGCCATCGGTGAGGAGAGATCGCGGCGCCGGTCGTCCACTAAAGAGCCCATCAGTTATACGAATAAAGCGATCGCAAAGTTCGCCGAAAGCATCAAAACGATGAACGAAGCGGTTCTCATACCGTCGAAGTTGAGGGACATTCAGATCAGCGAAACGGATCTCACGGAGACCATGGAGTTGGATATGGCGCCCAAAACCGATCTCTTCCAGTACTATACGATGCTTAACAACGTTAAGGACGACCTGTTCAACGGCCTGACCGGTGGCGGCGAGGATTGGTTTCTTAATGGCAATCATAATAATAACAACAACAATAATAATAGTAATTGTAATAATTGTAGTAATCATAGCAGTAATAGCGGTGGTTATCGATGGGATCGGCAACAGTCAGACGACGCGTTCGCCTCATTGACCAGTTTGTCGAGTTTGTCCATTTCATTAGATGGAGAGCCCGTCTCTTTCGAGGACAGGGCCAACCAATTGATGTCAGTGTTTATGCAACACTTGCAGTCCTTGTATGGCATTCTTCAGCACTTTAGCAGAGGTGCTGAGTATATAACCAAACGATACCAACAGGAGATCAATAGCACTGAACAGAAGTAAGAGTGAGAGTCAGAGAGAGAAACTCAAACCACAAGCCATCAGTTGCTCCTAAAAAACCGCCGATTTCTTCGCACTCTTCAACACTTTTTTGCCGTTGTTTTGTATTTTTGTAGTTATTTTCTCGAAGAAAAGTTTCAAATATTGTTTTTAGTTATTTTATTTGATTGATTTTAAACACTGTTTTTTATTTGTAGACTTAGTTTTGAATGTTTTTTGTGTGATTTTTTAAACGATTTGTCTTTTATGCAGCGCTTGTATTATGTGAATAGTTTTTAATAATTATTTGTATTATTTTCCTAATTATTTATTAAACTGTTTAATTGAATAAAAATGTCAATTCAAAAGCGTTTTGATTACCAGTAAGTATTTTTTATTTAATGTTTTTATACTATATTTCTAATGGTTTTTCTATTGCGAGAAAGAAAGAAAGAAAGAAAGAAAGAAAGAAAGAAAGAAAGAGAGTGAGAGAGAGAGAGAGAGAGAGAG